GACCAAGCACTGTTCGTCATTCCTCTTTGCTGCTCTCATCGTCTCCTTCATTCTAATCCATGCCAACTGTGGCGACCTCTTCCTCTCGACCACGCCTACTGGATTTCCATTTTGTTCCAATCATTCAGCGACAACGGATAATACTCCTAAGGTAAACTCAGATCCTATTTTCATTCAACTATTACTAATGTATTATCTCGTTTTACAGGGGATTTAGATGTTGGTTTTCCACCGACAACACCACCTGATAATGTTTCCAATTCACGACATCAATCCGGGCAGCCCACTTCTACGTCCGAGCACATCTCACCGTAGCCGAGGCCGTGGCCGACACTAGACCAGGGGAGTACTCTATTCATTCTCTTGCACTTTTTTTCTTTCGTTTTGGGGCAAAACGCTTTAAGTGAAGGGGAGTAAAGTGTAGGATTGAATTTCACCTTGCTTATATTTATGTTTCAATGCTAGTATGTGTTGATTGGATTTGTCAAAAATTTCATTAATTGTCTTTGTCGTGTTGAATATTGTTTGGAATGCTATGCTTGTTTGGGAACACATGATTGTTTAAGTTAGGATGTTCTTGATAGCGAATAGCATGAATTGTAATAAGTTGGTGCTTTTGTGATATTATGCCTTTGTGGTTGAAATGTGATTAGCTCAATGCATGAAACAATCTGGTGAGATTTGAGCCTTTAGGAGTACTCGATTCATTCTCTTGCACTTTAATTTCTTTCGTTTTGGGGCAAAACGCTTTAAGTGAAGGGGAGTAAGTGTAGGATTGAATTTCACCTTGCTTATATTTATGTTCAATGCTAGTATGTGTTGATTGGATTTGTCAAAAATTTCATTAATTGTCTTTGTCATGTTGAATATTGTTTGGAATGCTATGCTTGTTTGGGAACACGTGATGGTTTAGGTTAGGATGTTCTTGATAGCGAATAGCATGAATTGTAATAAGTTGGTGCTTTTGTGATATTATATGCCTTTGTTGGTTGAAATGTGATTAGCTCAATGCATGAAACAATCTGGTGAGATTTGAGCCTTTACGAGCATATCATTTTTCTCTCATTTTGTTGGATTGAGTGTGTCAAATTTGGCATTGATATTCTAGAACCTGCATGTTGAATATTGTTGAGATTACACATGAACATGATGCTTAAAAATTATTTGGGCACCTTAGGATTAACCATCTCGTTTCCCCACAAATAGCCTACCCATGCATTTTTCCCCTTAGTTAAACATTTTTGAGCCTATTCCCGCTTCTTTGTTTTCACCACATTTATAAACCCGAGCCTTTTTGTTTTATCCCTATTTTTTACCTTTTCAGGACAAGTGAATAATTTTACCATTGTATGCTCCATTGAAAAAAAATGTTGAATGCGAAAAAAAAAGTTGTTAAAAAAAGAAAAAAAGACATGAAAAAATGGAAAACAAAACAACAAAAGTGTGAAAAAAAAAGAAAAAAAATCAAATGCATTTTATTGTTTGACAATTCGTCTTTTATTCTTGGTGTGCTTAATGTTTTAATGGAGTTGAGATTATCATTTGTTAGTTTCAATGCCTTGAATATTTAGCCATATATTTAGCATTTTCCCCACCTTTACCTAAGCCCCGTTACAAATAATAAAAAATACTTTGATTTATGCATCGTGCTCTTATTAGTAGTGGAGATTTGAATTACTTGCAGGCTTATGGTAATATCGTGTCAATTCTGACATTGAGCGTTTCTTTACCCCAAACACATTGAGTGATTTGAGTGAATCCCGGTAATGTGTTGAGTTATGAGCATTGAGATTAATGAATGAATGGATATTACAATTGCACTTTACTTGTTCTAATTGGTGATGTTCAATTGATTGATTTCTTGACTTGAATAATTATTGTGTTCTCTACCTTGCTTCCTTAAATGTGAAACTTGACAAAAAACGGTAAATGAAATTTTTGACTAGTTTGATTAATCATACTTGAGGAAAAGCATGAGATAAGTGAGGAAGAATTTGATGAGTGTTCAGAATCATTAATCTTTGCTCGTTATTTCTTCAGTTTTGAGGAATTATTACTGCTAAATTGGTCGTGTTATACTTGTTTATGTACAGGTCCTGGCTTTCCAGAATTTGTGACAAAACGGGTGAATTCTGTATTTTTTTATTATTTGGTCACGGCTAGAGACATGGGCACGACTCTGGGCATGACGCGGTCTAACGTGGCAATTTCTAGAAGGTCCAATCAGCGACGGTTTCTAGAAGACTTTCTCCGTACGCCTTCTGGAAGATGGACGAGCAGAGTTGCATTAAGAGACTAGTTTAAGTTTGAATTTAAATTTGAAAAACAATTATCTTAGGATTATTTTATTTATTTTCTTTGTTTATCCCTTAGGCTTTGAGAGGCTATAAATACCCACTTAGGGTAAGCCTAAACTCATCATTCGGATTATAATCTTCTTTTCTCTCTAGTTTTTATAAAAGCTTTCTCTTTTTACTTCTCAAGTTCTTTTCATTTTCTTTTATTTTCCAAGCTTTGTTTTCAATTACTAAGTATGACTTTTGTCATGCTTAGCTAAACTTTTCATAAGCCGAGAGTTGTCGCGATGACTCAATTCCATCGGGAGAATTAAAATAGGCCCTTAATATCTTCGGAATATCTCTCTCAATCTCTGCGCTTATTTTTCAAAATCAAAACAGTTTTCAAAATCAAAGATCGACTTTGGTCAAGAGGTTGTTGCGATTAAATGTGTGGGAGAAAGATTCGGCTTATAGAAAACAATTCGACTTCCTGGGAACACACTTGGCAAGATAGCTTCGCCAAGAGGGAATTGAGATCGGAATTGACGGTTATCGAAGCAACAATCCGAGTGGGACGTCATGAACTTAAACGGTAATTGATCTACGACAATTGATGTTGTTAGAATCAATTACCGAAGCTGGAATCAAAGATTGCCTTGGGTATTCGGTATACAAGATAGAGTCACGGGGATATCCCTTGTAGACAAAGTAACCGACTTGAATCCCGAAGAGAAAACCTTATTCGATGATCATAAGGAAATTGAGTCAAAGCGAAGCTTGAGGCTACTTTTACCGTATTTATTCACAATCTTCATCTTCTTATTTTTACTTTAATTGCTTTTACTTATTTAATCGCTTTTATTATTTTAATATTTTCTTACCAAATCCCCCCTATTTTACTGTTCACGCCGGCATAAATAAATCAGATAAATTTATAATTTTCTAAGTCCCTGTGGAATCGACCATTACTTCTCTTTACTATGTATTTCCTTTATTTATTTATTGAGAATAAGGAATTTATTTTGACATCCAAAACGACAGTTGTCACTTAGCAAAGCTATGAGAGAGAGGATAAAGCATAGAATAACGAGGTTGTGTTTGTAAACTAGCCACAACTAGTGTTGTAGTGTTGTAGTATTGGGGGTAACGTCGTTGTAACGTATTTTGCCTCGTATTAATAATAGTTTGAGTTATAAAATATCGAGAGCCCATCTACGCTTCCAACAAGTGGCATCAGAGATTGGTTCGAGTTTAACGTGGTGGAAAAAATGGCCAACATGATTCAACCACAAATCCCAAAATTGACAAAGACAAATTATGGAAATTGGAGCATACAAATGAATGCGTTACTAGGCTCCTAAGATTGTTGGGATATCGTCGAGGATGGTTGCACCGAGCCTGAAAATGCAGTAGCAGAAGCAACCTTGACTAATGAAGAAAAGAAGTTATTGAAGGAATCCCAAAAAAAAATAAAAGAGCGTTGTTCTTTATTTTTTAAGGAGTAGACGAATCTACCTTTGAAAAAATTTCTGATACGAAAATTGCAAAACAAGCGTGAGAGATTTTGCAAAAATATCTCCAAGGTGTCGAAAAAGTAAAGATATACGTTTACAAACTCTTAAAGCTGATTTTGAGATGTTAAAAATGAAAAATATAGAAAACATTGATGATTGTATTAGCCGTGTAAAAGTGGCAGTGAATGAAATCAAAAGAAATTGTGAATCACTCGACGAGGTTAGAGTTGTGGAAAAAAAGTTGCTGTCATTGACAAGGAAATTCGATTACGTGTTTATGGCAATCGAAGAATCGAAAGATTTATCCCAAATATCGATCGATGAGCTTGTGGGTTCACTTCAATCCCATGAGCAAAAAATGAAACAAATGAAGATTCTGAAAATTTGGAGCAAGCTCTACAAAGCAAGATGAATGTCAATGAAGGAGAAGTTAGCAGCAGCTACACACGAGAACGAGGAAATCGTGGTGGTTATCGTGGACGAGGATTCAGAGGCCAATGTAGAGGCAGATATCAACAAGGAAATAAATCCCAAGGAAATGAAGAACCAATTGGAGATGATAAGCGAAGAAAAGCTCGAATGGAAAATCAAGTTTGAGGGGGAGTGTTATAAATAAAACTTGATTTCTACGAAAGTTGAAATTCAAACATGACGACAAACACTTGGCAATGAGGAAAGTGATTTAAAAACGTGGCAAGCAACCAACATGGATGGGAAACTTCTTGAATTACTTAAGGATTAAGACAATTATTCAACATGTGGAAAATAAAATGGATAGACTTTGAAAATTCAAAATTGCATGGAATTAAAGCACGACAAGGAATTGTCTGGCAGCAGTTCAAGGCGGTTTAATTTCCTATAAATATGAGATGTACGAAAGATATGGGATACAAGTGAGATAAAATGAATGAGTAAAAAACTTATAAAAACAAGGACGAGAAATAGCTTAGCAAAGCTATGATAGAGATGATAAAGCTTAGAAAGTGAGGTTGTGTTTGTAAACTAGCCGCACCTAGTGTTGTAGTGTTGTAATATTAGGGTAACGTCGTTGTAACGTATGTTGCCTCGTATCAATAATAGTTTGATTTGTAAAAATTACCAAGAGCCCATCTACGCTTCCAACACAGTGTACCTCACTAGGTTCTTGAAGAAATTGGGCTACCTTGTTAACATCAAACGATATGTTTGGACGGGTATGACATGTATACTAAAGGGCACCTACCATTCTACTGTACTGTTGAGGGTCACTTAATGTCCGCCCTTCATGCTTGCTCAACATAGTTGATGTCACCATGGGTGTAGATGTATGATTACCATCAAGTAACTGATTATTGTGCAAGAGCTTAGTGACAAACTTTATTTGGCTAAGAAATAAACCTCGATTTGATTGGTGCACCTCTATGCCAAGGAAGAACTTCAGTTGACCGAGGTCTTTGAGTGAAAATTTCTCTTGGAGTTTATGAATTGTCTGATCTGTTTCCTCCTGTGAGCTCTTAGTCACTAGTATGTTGTCTACGTAAACTGCTACATATGTAACCATTCCATCATTTGCACGCACAAATAAAGAAAAGTCAAGCTTCGTGAGGATTCAAAGCCTAAGCCATACAAAACTCCTGAAGCTTGAGAAACCAATTTCTTAAAGCTTGCCTTAAGACCATATAAGGCCTTTTTCAATTTGCACACTAGCACTTTTCCATCAGATGAGATTTCTTCAAACCCTGGTATTTGATGCATATAAATCTACTTACTCAATTCACCTTTAAGGCATTGTTCACATCAACCTGCCTTATCTTCCAGTTATATGTTACAACCAAAGAAAGCATTATATTTACAGTAGAGAATTGAACTACTGGACTAAAAGTGTCCATCAAATCAAAGCTTGATATTTGATAATACCCTTTTGTTACCAATTTGGTTTTCAACCTTTCAACTGAGCCATCTGCATTCTTCTTAACCTTGAAGAGCCATTTACAACCAATGGCCTTCATTCCAGCTGGCAGTTCAACAATCCTCCATGTATTATTGGTCAGAAGCGCATTATACTCAGATAGAACAACATCTCTCCAGTCAGGGTACTCAAGTGCAACATGAATATTAGTAGACAGTTCCTTGTATTGAATCGTGTAAACCTTCGTTTTGAAGATTCCATGTTTGCTTCGTGTAGTCATAGCATGTATATTCCTTAGCATTCTTCCTCAGACATAGATCTGAGTTAAGAAGCATAATAAATAAACAAAGGATTATCTGAATTAAGTGTTAACATATATCTTAAAGTACATAAAACATCATAATAATTAAAGCTTAGAAACATAGATGACAAACACAATATTTTTGTTCTTTGGCACAACATTCTCAAAATTCAGGCAATACTTGTGACATTTGTCGCTCCAGTATTACAATTATCATTCTCTATTTCCTCCAAGTGAGAGCGCTCTAATTTAAATTCACTACTACCTACATGTATAATAGAAGGCAAAACTAATAGAAGTTAGTAATTAAACTTTAATAAGATAATTAAGCACAATTTTACAACTAACATAGACTAAATAATAATATTACCTTTAATATATGTCCAAAGCCAATTCTGAACACACAATAATGCTTCAAACGTCTTCAGAAGTAGTCAACTACGATAAGGACCAATTACTCTTATACAATATTAAGATTTATAAATTAGTCTCTAAAATTATACATAAATTCATAATGGTCCAAATTTAATGAGTATTTAGTGGGCGGGCGGATGTGGGACAAATAAGGTCTCAAACCCATCACCCGCCCACTACTCACTAAAGTTATACCCATCCCCGCCCCGATTGGAGCGAGTACGGTGTGGAATCCACGAAATTGTACTCGTTTGTCATCCCTAAGAATATGAAACTTTCTATATTTTATGGGACAATCTGTGTTTGGCCCTTTCACTCTTATTTTTATTTCAATTCAGTCCAATTTCGCACGAATTCTTTGCTTTTTAGCCTTTTAAATTTTTAGATACTTTCGATTAATTTAATGTTCTATTTATTTATTTATTTATTTATCAATTCATTATTTTTATTGTTTCATATTTTGAAGAAATATCATGTAGTTTTACAAAAAAAAGTTTATTTTTATCTTTTTAGAAAATAAGATAATATTTTTTGCTATAATAATTAAAAGTGTAGTGTTAAAATTGACTAGATTTAGCTATTTAATGGAGTGACATCCTTTTTTAAAAAATGGGTGAACCTTTTTTCAAATTTATTGAAAATGAATGTAAATATTTTGTTTCCAAATAAGTTCACTCTTTGAATGAATTTACATTCATACATTAATTTAAGAGATCATATATTAAAATTATTTATAAAATATATATTTTAATATGTTTTATTTTTTGAGTTTCGTGAGGTCTTTCTAATCTTCTTCATGTTTAATCCCTTCTCGAACTCATTTTTGACACACAATATAATTTAAATATTATTTTATAAAGATTATACCAAATTTTCAACTTGACTAATAATTATGTCATACAAGTCCAAGTTTAATTTTTTATATATTTTGCTGGGGTCAAAGATTATTATTCAAATACTATTTTATGAAAAATATATTAAGCCTATAACTTAATTTAGTGTTAAGTCTTTACAGGGGTCATACCCTATCTTATCACATTTTTTCATATTTTCAGCATTCTCTTAATTAAAAATGTTGATATTAAGTTAAAATAATATGTGAATATATTAACTTGATTGTTGTTGGTATATAAAAGCGTATTATATTAATAAAAATTAAATTTTATAGAGTGTATTATAATTTATTTTAAAAATAATTATTTCCTTACCCCTTTAAGCTACCAGCAATATTAGTGAATAAAAAGTCTAAAAATGTGACTCTAGAAAGGAAAAGGGGTGGGTAGGGTTCTACACATGATTTTCAGAACCGGATCGGTTAGTAAACCGGTCATACTATTAGTTCATTGGTTCAACTGATCGAATCGGTCCGATCGGCCGGAACAACCGGACGACGTCATAATTATTTAAAAAATTAAATAAAAATACCAAAAATATTTAATAAAAAATAATTTTTTATATCACAAGTTATATTCAAAGCAAGTCATAACATATAAATTAAAACCAAAATCAAGTGAAACAAAATGATTCAAATTAACTACAACATAATATTTAAGGTAAAACATATTAAATAAATATAATATATAACTATAATTAAAAATAAATTTGTGCTAAAAAATCATAACAAAATGATATTGTTTGGTTTAATTTTTTTAAAAAAACAATCTCACATAGCTAAGAAACATAGAAGAACATCCTCAAAAGTCTAAAGAGTAAAAATATGAGAACAAAACAATCCCACATTGCTAAGAAACATAGAAGAGCATCACAACTAACTTCTATAAATAATAGAGGTAATTTGACATTCAAAATCATAGAGCCTTTTGGTGAGCATTGAGTGAACTATTCTTTCACTTCAATCAAGCTCGAATTTTAGGCTTCAATTGAGCTTCTAATTTTTTTTCAAGCCTTTTTGAGTTTAAGTTTTAATATTATATTTCGAGTTCGAGTTGAACTTGATAATTTTAAACTTGTGAGTTTGAGTGGAGTTAAGCTTACTTTTAAAGTTTTCAAGTTCGAGTCGAGTCAGCAATACTTGAGTTCGACTTGGATCGTTTAACAAACGACGTTTGGTTTAATTTAAAAAAAAAAAAACAAAATTTTCAATTTTTTCTGGTTTTAAGTCGGTCCGGTTCGGTTCGAATAGTTCAGCTGTTCTGACCAATTTACTAATAACAGTTCAACCGATTTAAATTAAACCGGACTAGATAACGATTTTCGGTTAAACTGATTGAACCGATCCGATCCAATTTTCAAAACAGAGGTTCTACAATAGAAGAGCTTTGTTCCTTGGGTCCCTCAGTTTCAAGGTTTTGTTTTTAATCATTTATTTGTTTATTATATTGTTTGTGTTTATCTTTGATGGATGTTGCATTATTTCCTAAAGTTTCTCTCTTTACCGTGTCCTTGTTCTTCTAGTCTGTTTCTTTCTTTCAAACTAGAGAGCAGGACAGATATTTCTTTTCCAATCTTAAATAATCTTCAATCTTTTTCTGCTCTTTGTTACAAATCTTGTGAAGGGGTTTCTGTGAACAGGACCCTTCTATTGGTTTGGAGTGTTACTAATTTTTTAGCTTTGTAGTTGATCTCTATTGAAAAGAAAGTGTAGATTTAGGTAAAATGGGTAGCGGTTATTTTCCCTTGGAAAGTTGAAGATACATACGTTCATATATACAGATTAATTTCTTTGGCGTTGATTGAGATTGGTACTTGGTAATGCTTTTTTTTATGCCAAAGGTTTTTTCTTTTCACCTTTGCTCCTTGATCTATTATTGACTTCCTTCTTGTTTCCATCTTGCTTTTGAGTTAGGTGAGCAGAAGGTTGACCCTTGATTCTTCATGTTGGTTTCCTTTTGAAGTTTTTGTTATTAAATTGAAGAAAGTTGGAAGTTTTGTTGAAGAAAGTCATTTCTTCTTCTTGATTTCTTCCTTCTTTCCCTTGTTTATGTATGATAAAGTGAAAAACCATTACTTGATTGTTGGGGCTAAAGAGGAAGATTGAAAATTTTGGATGTTAGAGCTATGGGTGTTTTAGATCCTGAAATTTAGGAAAGCTGGGTTCATTTTTATAGATCTTGAATTGTGCCAGATGGGATTTTGTTGTCTTTGAAAAGGAATTGGCTTTAGGAAATGAATATTGGAGCTTTTAGCTGTAGTTTGGGGGTTGTCTTTGCTATATTGGTTGAATACAAAAGTTTATATTGGGGGTGTGGGAAGTTTGGCATCTTAGTTGCATGGATTGAACCAGTAGGTCACCTGAGTGACAATGTTAAGAGCATTGGCTCTTGGCTTGTTGACTTCTCTTTTTGTGTTTGTGGTTTCGGTTTCTGGCAGTGACAATGAGTTAGCAAGTTGTAACTGTGATGATGAGGGCTTTTGGAGTGTACATGGCATTTTAGAGTGCCAGAAGGTGAGTGATTTCTTCATTGCCGTGGCATATTTTTCGATACCTATCGAATTGCTTTACTTCATCAGTTGTTCGAACGTTCCCTTCAAATGGGTCCTTGTTCAGTTTATAGCCTTTATAGTGCTTTGTGGATTGACTCATCTTCTCAATGGATGGACTTATTATGGTCCCCACTCATTCCAATTGATGTTGTCCCTCACCTCACCATTGCCGCCCGTCTCTGTGCGACCGCAATTACGCTATTGAATCTGATCCTCTCTTACTCAAAGTGAAAGTGAGGGAGGTTTTCTTGAGGCAGAATGTATTGGAATTGGATCAAGAGGTTGACATGATGAAAAGGAAGAAGGAAGCCAGTTCACATGTTCGTATGTTAACGCAGGAAATCAGGAAATCCTTAGATAAACATACTATATTGTACACCACTTTGGTTGAGCTTTCTATGACTTTGGATTTAATCAACTGTGCCGTGTGGATGCCAAATAAGAATGGGACGCAGATGAATTTAACTCATGAGTTGAAAGCTAGTTCTTCGAGTAGTTTTCACCAATCTATCCCGATGAGTGATCCGGATATGAAGGAGATAAAAGGGAGTGAAGGAGTGAGAATCCTGAGACCAGACTCTGCACTTGGGCTTGCAAGTGGTAGTGGGTCAGATGAGGCAGGCACCATTGCAGCAATCAGGATGCCAATGCTTCAAGGTTATAACTTTAAAGGGGGAACGCCAGAATTGGTGGAGACACGCTATGCCATTCTGGTATTGGTTCTTCCGAGCACGGACTCTAGGAATTGGAGCTATCCGGAAATGGATATTGTTGAGGTGGTTGCTGATCAGGTAGCTGTAGCTCTATCCCATGCTGCAGTTCTCGAAGAATCTCAACGAATGAGAGAAAAACTGAGCCAGCAAAATCATGTGTTGCAGAAGGAAAGACAGACTGCAATGATGGCCGGCCAAGCGAGGAACTCTTTTCAGAATGTAATGAGTTATGGAATGAAAAGACCAATGCATTCAATATTGGGCTTACTGTCACTGTTTCAAGATGAAAATATGCCCTTCAAGCAGAAAAATATTGTTGACACATTGGTCAAAACAAGCAGTGTTCTTTCAACTTTGATAAATGATGTGATGGAGATTTCAGCAAAAGATAATGGAAGATTTCCGTTT